ATCATACAGCATTCTCTGCTGTGCCATGGCACTGTCTTTCAGTTGGATAAATTTTCTTTCTTGGACATTTCATGACACATTGATACAATAAAATGGGGTTTGAAACAATATCCCTCCCCTCCACAGACCCATAATTAGTTTCAAAGGTCATCATGGCACAACACTGACCATTAATCACCTCAAGCCCCAACCTGTTCTTCCCTCCCCAGAGGAGTTCACTGCCTCCAAACTTTAGAAACTGATTCTTCATCGGATCAAGAATTGTACTTCACTAGGATTGATGACTATAAAATCAGCCACAAATTCAATTTTATAAACACAGCAATATTTTCCCAACAAGATCCATGGTGCATTGTAGCAGTCATTTCCAGGGAAGGACTGAAACCAGAAAGAGCTACATCCAACACGATGAAGAATCACAGTGAGTGGGATGATGGGAGCAGTTCCATTTTATACCCAATTTAATATCAGCTAAAAGCAAATCTTTCTGTCTTCCCCATCCCTTCTTCCAGCCATGCATTTCTGTGTTTCCTTTACTAAGTCATGTAAGCTGCAGGACCCAAAAACATCAGTCCCCCGGCCCAAGAGAAAATTAACCTACTAGAACAGTATTTCCTGCAGAATTTTACTATTTTGATATATCCTGAAGAGAATCGTGGCTGCAGATGTAATTGATACTGGAGCCATCATGGGTAAAACAAACTCGACTAGGGGAAAATTAATTTAATGCATGGCTAATTAAAATAGGCTTGGATAATGATAGACACAGGCAAATTAAAACACCACCTTCCCCCATATCCTCCTTCCCAGGCTCAATGTTACTCTCTGATCCATAAATCCTGCACCCTCTCTTGCAAAGGAGGGCTTGTGGGGCTGTTCCTCACTTTTTATTTTTTTCCTCACTCCCTGCTACCCATCCTGCTCCTCACAGCCAGGGCCTTGACACCTGTCCACAGTACAATACCAGAGACAAAAGAGTTTACTCTTAGCTGCCAAAAGTAGAAGTATTTTCAAGTATGGACAATTTTATCTCAACTTTAAACCAAATCTCAAGCTGACAAAGAGCAGGGCCGGGAGATCTCCAGCACAGAATTGCATCGTGTGGCTGCTATCAGTCACAACTCACTTTTTAAGGAAAAAAAAAAAATCTAAAAACTATGTTCAATAGGATTTCTATCACACATACAGTACATACTGAGGATGTTACAATCCAGACTGGTATTGTGGCTTTGTGGCACTTACCTGAGACACAGTGGCTTGCCACAGGTGACTTGTACCCTGGGAATCCTTGCCTAAGGTTCTGCTCTGGTGATTTGTTGTTGATACCATTCACATTCATGCACCTGAAGTGAAACCCGAGTTGCAGAAATTGTCATCTTTAGGAAAACTTGTAAATTATAGAATAGTGCTGAGAGCCCTTTAGCTCCTTTTAGCACAGTCACTGCTTGGCTACAGCAGATTATTTGCCCAGAGGAGTCTGTGGTTTGGCTCTTCCTCCTGGCTTGCTGGAGCCCTACACACCCAACAGATACTCCCAGATAATCCAAAAAATAAGTATGAGTCACCAAAACATCTCACACCACCTCATTTCTGAAGCCTCCAGTATTGGCATTAAGGGACTCATAAATTTTGAGTCCTCTAAGATAAATACCTCCAAGGATGACATCCTGGCTCCACTGAAGCTGATGGCTGAGCTCCAAGTGACCTCACTGGGGACAGGATCTCACCTCAGACACTTGCCTTCGTGTGATCCTTCCTGAAAATGGCATTTTCCCTTTGAAAGGCTTTTTGTTTCAGAAAGATGAGCTCAGCTGGTCTCTATCTCTATGCCTTAGTGGGTATTTGCAGCAATCCAACCTTATCACTGAGACTTTGGAGGTAAGGGATGGTTTAGGCTCAAGGCCAAGGTCTCACTGTACCTGCTGCTCATGCTAACACATTTCATTTGCTTCACTAGGCACACAGGAGAGGGTAACAAGACACATTTGTTGTGTTTAAATCACTATCAAGTGATGCTAATGGTCTTCACGGGGATTTAAGCCTCAGGTTATGTGGAATGTGCACAATCTAATCAGTGTCACTGTAGAATCTAAAACGATAAAAGACAATGTACAAGTCCTCCTTATCTCTGTGTTATCTCCCAGTGGAGTGAATAATCAAGCAGGGGGCTCTTACAGCAGCAAAACTTCCCACAAGCTTTCCTGTAAAAAATGAGCATAAAGAAAACAGGTAAAATTTATTGATCAGTAATGCTGTCTTTAGACCCACTACAGGAGTCCTTTGCCACAAGTTTTCATATAAAATCTCAATTTCCTGCAAGTTACAGGTTCTCAGCATTTCTTGGCAGATCTGGCCTCTGGTATGAGGCAGTGGCCCTTTCCCAACCCTCCTGCAAGGAATCTACAAAACCTCTGCTGGCACTCCATGGAGGCTAAAAGCCACAGAAATTCTGTGTTTGTCTTCACTTTGCTGTAAACCAAAACATGTCTTTCATGTGAAAACCAAGTCTGAGGGAGCAGTTCATACTTTGTCTCTTCAAATATCCCTTGGAAGATGAGATCTAATAGCATGTGAAGGATAGATCAATTCTTTGAAAACCCAGGTTTCTTGGTTACTATCTCTTATTCTTTTTTCCCTTCAAAATAATTCTGTTTTCCCTCTTCCACTTTCCATTGATTTCTGCTCTCCCCTGTTGGCAAATTTATTCTGTATACTCTGCTAACAAGAGCCTTTATTTCCCTACCCAGATACAGTATAAACTTTCCCTTCAACTCTTTAATTCTCTCCTAAACTTTCTCTTATCCACCAAGGGGACCTGAAAACCAGGTTCTTTGCCTAAGTCATATTTTATTATGAAAAAGTGACTCTCTACCAAGAGGATGGGATGTCAGCCACCCAGAGTTACACTGATCCCAATTCTATTAAGAGTGACAAACCTCAGAATCAGGAGATGGTGTTATTTGCACACACAGCACTATAAAAACTGGCCATGCAATACAGTGTCTTTCAACAGATAAATCCTACTACCAGTGAATGACAGAACTCTTGCTATCTCTCACTGACTCCAAGTAAATAACTCACATGACAAGTAGAACAAAAAGAAATCATTAAATTGCAAGCCTTCATTTTAACAAGCAAGTAATTACACACTTGAGAGCTTCCCATCTAACCCTGCATCATTCTGCTCAAAACTGGGTTACAAAGACTGTCCAGTTGCACAATTACCACACACCACTGTGAAATATTGTACCTGTAATGCCAGAACCATCAATTCCTTTGGCAACTTTTTCTATATTCTGCTTTTAATTCACATTTTAAGTAACAACAGCAGTTACCCCAACCTTGCTAGTAACCCTAGATTTATTACCAGCTTTGTTTTCTTTTAGGCTTCCTTCCTTTCACAGCACCTTCTCTATTGTCCTTTTACAGGTGAATGGCTGCAGTTCTCCTAAATCAAGTCCTCTCATCTCTCCACCTCATTCAAATCTCTCATCTGCCACAGCATTTCTAGAGGTTAATTTACAAGCAGAAAAGCATAGTCTTCATATGTACAGAACATAAAAACTGTAAAGAGTTTTTATTTCACAAAATCCAAACCAACCAAAAAAAAAAAAACAACAACAAAAAAACTCTGCAACTGGAATTCAAACCTCCTCTTAAGTTTTTTTTAGTGTTATCAGCTTGTCTTCCATAACTTGCTCAGTTGGAGCCCTTTGAAAATCACTCATTGCAGGCTCATGCTGTAAAGGAACAGGAGCAAAGTAAGACAAAAAATGGGTTATGTGTCAAGTTTGGTTTAGCCTATTAGAAACTTAAAGCAAGAAAATCTATTATGGCTGCAGACTGAACAGGACTACCCTGGCACCAACCTGTCTGCTGCAAAATCCTCTAGGACACTTAATTGTGTGCTTGAGTATAAAATCGACAGTATTCAAATTTTATTTCACTTGCTCACCCTTCCTTTATAATTTCAGCAGCTATTGCTGTCAACTGTGTCATTTCCTCTTGGGCTGTATCTGCTTACACCAGTGGCAATGGTTACTCATCACACACAGGGCTTACAGACCATGTCATTGCAGTGTCCCTCCTCACCGTTTATATTTCATAAACCTCTTTTAGCTCAAAATAGAACTAACAGCACGATTAGACCTATAATTGGTGTAAGACATTTCACTGGTTTAAATGGGAGTTTGACAGGAGCAGAATTTCCTATCACAATTACTGACATCAAAATTCATACATGCTAAGACAGTTTTCTTCTCATACATAGCTTAGGTAGAAAACTCTGCACCAAAAAGAAGAAAAAACATTGATTGGGATATTGTACAGACACAAAAGTAAAGTAAAAATAAACCACAAAAATGCTATGCTGGAATCCAAACCTCCAAAAAGAGAGATTAGGCAAGTAAGGGGAAGAAACAATTTATCAATTTACATTTTACGAGGCATTCTGCCATGCTTATGGCATGAAAGAGTGAATTGATGCCAAAATTTCTATGATGTCAGTACAGAAAAGCACTTTTAGAATAAAAGCAGGCTATCACTGTTCCTTTAGATTTTCTAATAACAAGGCCATTTTCAAATTTAGGTATGTACAAGCCCATATACATCACCCTCAATTTTTCACTTACTACACAGTGAAGGGTCCATGCAAAAATTTAATCATGAACCATGTCAGAGCAGTTCTAAGTTCTGTGTGTGACAACACAGCTTCTGCTGCATCATTTCTAGGTTGCTGCAGGACAGTCCTTCACTTCCTCAGACCATGAGTGTACCAGTGAGGATCCAACCTCAAGCACTGTATTTCAACACAAACTATTTCAAGACAGGTACATTCTACACTGTTGTTGTGCAATTTGGAAAGCTGCTGTTTTATGTTATCTACAGAACTGTATTGAAATATCTTCAACTACAGGGCTACACTGAAGTCACAATTTTAAAAAAACACACACAGATGACAGTATGTCAATGTATGCTGTAATATAATAGCAAAAACGAACTCAGGCTATTAAAAAAATTTTATTCTTTTCCATGAAAGATTGATACTACAATCAATATAACCATTTTATCAGTCAAGTATGTCTGTTATAGGCAGGCACAACATTACAAAACAGGCAAGTACAATGCCTGATTAAGCGAATACAGTCTGAATATCTATTCATCCACTATTTCTGAAAACAGAATTATCAAATATCCACCAGGGAAAAAGATGAACTATTTTAGTTTCTCTTTGGCATACTTATCAGGACAATGAATCAATTACAAAAGTCTTCTATTGCTGCCAGTGCTGTGAAGGAAGAAGGACTGAGTGGAAGGTTGCACGTCAGAATTTGCTTTTAGGACTTGGGCAACCCAGCTCACATATCCAAAGTGGTGACAAATGACAGTTCAGCTGCCAATGCTTCACAAGGCAGACAAGGATTACATTGTTTTACACTGCAGGTTTGTTGAAGGTATCAAAAGAGTTACAGTAAATTTATGCACAGTACATACATATTACACACAGTTCTATAAATACCCATGCTGTGGCTGGACTTGAGGAAGCTGCTTTAGCAACACGAAAGCATCAGACCTCCTACCAGCCACTTAATACACATTGCACTTTGCATCCAGTAATATGTTCATTTCTGTACCTCTCTTAAAAATAGATTTAAAGCAGAAGTGAAGAATAATATCGAATCTTTCCATAAACTTTGTTTTCTTATTTACACTTATGTAATATTCCATTATACATAAAGACTGCGTAACGATACATTATCTTCATATAGCTTTTTGCAATACATACAGCTTGGAGCTATTAACATCTTGGTTTGGGAACACAGATATGACTTTTAAGACTATTTAAAAACAATTTGAGCTTTAATTTTGCTCTAGTTTGTTTCACTGAAACCATTCTTTGAACAACAAAAAAAAATTCCTCCTTATTGGAGAGGAAAAAAACAACTCATGCTTAAATCACCTCTGGATTTCCTTAAACCACTGAGAAACTTAGAAACCATAATCATTTTTTGCATAATTATAAAGCCACTTCAAAGGCCCGTTACTTTTCAATTTAGAATATGAATGACAACTGTGACTGCATCTTTAAACTAGGTTAACTTTTGCTTATTTTTCAATGCAAAAAAAAATGAAAACTCAATCATTAACCATACATGATCTTTGCACAGTTGGGGAGAGTTCCTATTTTATTCGTGGGACAAAATGAACATGCACACAACCCCCATTCACAGAGTGAGAACATAAACTACAGCAGCACTTGTCTCAAGTTATGGTTGCACATGGTTGCAATACGGAGTATAAAACAAAAGCAGAATTTCCAACATCTGTTAAAACACACACACAAAAAAAAACCCCTTATTGTACAAAAAGTCATTCACATTCTTTGCAACGAAGTGAAGAATCAGCTGCTTTCTGGACTCTCCAGTCTGCAAACTCCTCCTTCTATTGCCACAGACTGTCCTGCCACAGCTCCAGGAGGAAGTCTTGAAATGTGAGTCTGTGGAAAAGTCAAGAGAATATTATGGACTGAGAAAAGGCAAAATTATGCAGGACAAAGTAAGTTTGTAAGTATTGAACAATTAAGCTTTTCCCTCACTGAAGTCTGAGGACAAACTACAAAGCAACTTGAAAAACAACTGAGATTCTTTTCCTATTTTCTTTGCATTAATGTTTAACACATGAAGACCATGACAGAAGCATAGAAAATGTAAATTGGATGAATCAACACACTGAAAGTAGAAAGAAATATCCAGAGTGAAGACAAAAGAAAGTAATTTTGGCATTTCATGGTTTGTAGGTCTTACTACTGCATACATGAATGCCCCTTTGAGAAACCTCAGACAGAATTAAATATCTGACAAACTAGCACTTCAGAGCCTAAGGCAACTGCAGTGATCAGGACAAAAGAAAGAAATTTCTCTGCATAAAATACCTATTTATCCACCTAAAAAAACCCCAAAGAGTTCCTGTTGCTAACTACCAAATAAGTCAGCCCAAAGAACAATTGCATTTCTGCCAATAGGCATCTTTTCCACAGAAAGTTTTAAAAGCCTTTCAGAAGACACTGGAATATTTCAGCCAGGAAGTGGGTATGTTTGTCTGGGTACACAAAACCTCAGTTTGTAACTGAATTGTAACTCAGTGACCCTAAAAATCTGCTAATGGTCCTTTATATACTGGGGTATGTTTTATTACTGATGGGCAAAAGCATCTGCTTATGAAAAGATACTCTGACTTACTGTTAAGAGTAATGACTTTTTATCCCCTTTGCACATGTTTTTACACTGTGAAAACTGCTTGTGCTATATTAAATTAGGAGCTAGAAATGATTCCTCCTGTGGTATAAAGCTCACAATATAACATTGCTGGTATTTAGAAATGACAGCTCCCTGTAAGTGCAGCCCACACACATTTGTTTGTACATACATTGCCCCATTTAAAAGATTTAGTTGTTGAAAAATGTGTAACTTGCAATGAGGCAATGAGTGGTCACAAAAAGTAACAATGTACAACTTCAGTAACAAAAATTTGCATCAATTATGCAGAAAGCAATTTTGAGACTCTAAATTCAGTTCATTACATTGAAGAAACATTTTGTGTCTCGGGCAGCTTCTTTTAATTCTTTTCTTGATAAGGGTATCCTGGTGCCTGCACTTAGGTGGTCTTTTTTCAGTTAAATCACAGAATAAGATTTAATTTAAAATATTTCAATGTTTTCAACACTCTCTTCAAACCTGTTACAGTTTCCCCCAAAATGTAACTGACAATTTTTCTGTAGATGTCTATTCATAAATTTAAAAAAAAAATTAAAAGGAAGAAAATCAAGTGGAAGAAAGGAATTTTTTATTCTATGATTGACAGATCCATGATATTTTTCCAGGTCTGTGAAAATTTCTAAATGGAAAGGATGACAGTATAAAAGCAGCACTGTTTGATGGGCATGGTAGCAAATTTGTTTCCTCAGAGGAAGAATGCCACTGGTTGTTCAGTGAGGCATTGCTGTCAGAGCAAACCAGTAAGTTAATCCTAGTAAGCTTTTGAGCAAGGGAAAGGAAATGTACAGGAGGGGATAAGCAGGTGGCTATGCTTATATAGCTGCCCAAAACACATTTCCCATAGAAAAGCTCATTTCCCATGTCAGGGGGAACACATTTCCCATACACAGGACCCCAAACCACTACACACCAGCATCTGAAGATTTCCATTTACAGAAACACTGAAACCACATATAACAAAGCATTTCTTCAAGCCTTCACTTGCATCCTGTTTATTTGGATACTTCCAATGATGGAGTAAATACAGATCTGGTTTACACTGACTACTTTTTATCACTTTCACCAATGGCTGCCTTATGTAGAGCAAAAATGAGACAGATCTAAGATGATAATGTTTAAGATGTTACTTAATAAATAATTTGAAAGGATAACGTTGCCATGTCAATACAACTTCAGACAACTCCCAAGTGAATTCTTACAATTAGATCTCCCTTGTTCTTAATCATAAGAACAAACTCCAGTAAATAAAAAGAAACATCAAAGAACACAGAATATTTTTAAATGAACCACAGAACTTATTTGTAAAGTTTGTTACATTTTTATATCCCAACATCATATTTTACATTAAGTCCACATTGTATAGTCAATTAGGTTTAGATTCTAGAAACTTAAAAGTAAAAAAGCAAACAAAAAAGAATGACACTGGAAAGGTTTTAATTGAACTCGATTAGTCTGTCAGCTTTACAAGCTGAATGAACCCACACTTGGAAGAAATTGTGCCTGGGACCAGAAAAAAAAAAAAAAAAAAGGAAAATAAATAATCTTCCTGAATTAATCCTCCACTCAGCTCCACAGAAGCCTCTCTTTGAGGAAAGCATATGTCAAAGAATGGCAGATTAAGAATGATGGAGTTATCCATATCTTCAGTTTCACATATAGGCATTTTACACTCCCAAGAATATTCTGATTTGCTTTGCTTTCCCAGAGAAAAGCAAGGTTGGTGAGGGTCCAGTAGGAGATGAGGCACCAACATTTGGGACACCAGTCAGTCACCAGAGATTTTTGCTGCAGCTTCAAGGAGGAACCTCTTGCCCACAATTCCACAGGAAAAAAAGGTAAATGCTGGAAGAAACATTTGATCTTTTGCTTCCTACCCCTCTATAAAGCCCAAAGGAGCTAACCAAACTTCAGATGCTGATTCTTACTCCGTGCTCCTGAGCTCCCAACACACAGTGTTTGCCTCTTCCCCTCCCAACCAAACCAACATCATGGAATTACTGATCCCCCCAACCCCAACAGAGTAACTGCAGTGTTATTCTCTCCCAGTGATTTTTGATGCACACTGTAAAGTTCCCCACTACTTAGAAAACTAATAGGTCTTTCTGCTCTGGAATACATGGAATGCATGGAATACAACTACCACAGGAACAATACATGGTCTCATCTTTTTGCCTCATATTATTTCATGTCTCATAGACAAGGATTCTGAAACAACCCTGAGATCAAGGAATATGGAAACAGTTTTCTTTTGAAGAGCTAGTCTCCTCCTTCCATTCACAAAAAAGTATCAGTTTGTCACAACAACTTTGAGAATTTTTCTTCCATTAAAAGCATAAATACAATGTAAAATGAATATATAAAATTTAAGCCAAGAGACAGAGAGTGCTGCATGAGAAAGCTGAAATCAATCAAATGTTGCCAAGAGGACAGAGTACAACTACCAGATGGCAGCACATTCAGTTCTTAAGCAAATCTAGGGAGTACTTCATGTGTTTAGCACTCTTATTACACACTCAGGATGTGCTTTAGACAGAATAATTTATAAAACTTTTTCCATTCATTACACTAAAGAGATGAAATATAATGAAAGACTAAGGACACCATATCCTCAAGGAAATTGCTTTCTACAACTTTGCTCCCTGAATAAAAAGAGTAGCACCAAATCCACATGCACTTTAGAAATTTGGAGCCTTCTAGGGTGGGCACACACTTCCACCATCAGAACCATCTGACCACACATTCTGAATTCATTTTTTAAGCAGTAAGAGCCCATTTTGGCAGCAACTCTGCTGCTCTGTCTCCTGGTAATCTCTCCTCCACCATGGTCTATATGTACACCAGGAGAAGGTGCCCCACTAAATACTGGCAACTGCTGCTATTGGAAAATGCCATGTGCATCTTGTTTGGTGAAACCTTAATAAAGAAAAAAAATGGGGGAAAAAAACAGAGAGAGGCTCCAGAATATTGTCCTTGTTGGGAAACAGCAGAAAGACACAGGGATGGGCTACTTCTGGTCTCACTGCACTGAAAATAATGATTTTACATAGAGGTTGATTAGAAGTTAACAGTTTTCCAAGCTCCAATTCATTCTGTGGGTTAAGTATAGTACTATAAACTATTTATGTATCTAACTAAATCACTCATACCTATATCAAGACAGTCTAAAGACAGCTATCAACCAATCATCTAACCAGCTCAGCATCCCAGGGTTTTATAGAGGTATTCTAAAACCCTGTCATGAACCTTCAAATGTGATTTGTAACATTGTGAATTGCAGGTGCTAAGTCAGGTTATTGCATTTATACTTGCATACCTGCACACACAGTCCCATCTTCCCTACTCCACTCTGTCAGCCAAATCCAAGGAGAGTTCCAGAACTACTGGTTTTATGCAAGAGCCCAACCCAAAAAGTGAACTTCCCATCTCAGAGCCAGCTGATTTCTGTGAAGTTCTACAATCCAAACATTTTAACCGGTATCTTAGCACTGAAGGTTATTTCCAACAAATAGGAAAACCCTTATTTTTATGAGAGAATTGGATGGTCCACTGTATGCACAGAGTAGTTTTCAAATGAAAATTTCTGCCTGATTCCCCAGCCTCCAGACAGGAGTGAAGATTAAAGAAAATAAGTACAACAGTGACATATACTTTTCCTGTCTCATGAAGTTAAAACACTGTTTCTGTAGTCTGAAATGAATGACTGAATTATTTGACTTCGTATTTCTGCTCACTAAATAGGTTCAGTAAACTTTTCCACTAATTTTCAAATTAGAATTAGGATTCTTCCAAGAATGTGTTTCTTCACCCAATGAGCACTGGAATACTGCCCTTCTCCTGACAAAGGGCTTTCACAGACCTTTCACTTACAAAGTCAAATACAGAAGCTCATCCTCAGAAAACTGACAACAATCACTACAATCAATGTTTGTCACATGTATCACTTCAAACACGGAGGGAAGGACTTCTATTAAATTTTACAGCGTCACTAAAGGCAAATAAATCTGATGATGACAGCTTACATCTCCACAGGAAAAGTGAACTGGAGATGGTCTCCATGTCCACCATGTTTGCTCATACTGGCAAATGAAATTAACTGTCAAAGATAAAAGTTTCTGTTTGCACATTGCAACCACAACATTTGGTGTGGACAGCAGTTGCTGCTGATGGATGTTTTCAAACACAGCAATATGCAACACTCTCCACTACTGCTGCACCACGTCTTGCAAAGCAATGTCAATTTGGTTCATTTGAGAATGGAAAGAATGGCTTATGTAGCTTTGCATTATTAAAACCTGCCATAACATAAAGCTCAGCAGCTCATGTTATAAGAGCTGAATAGCTGCCAAAAAGAGATTTAAACTGGCAACCGAATTGGATTATATTCAATATTGCAACTGGGCTTTTAAAATTTGCTGTCTAAGTCATCCAGCTGTTAGAAAAACAAAAACCTAGGAGTCTCAACTACTACTCAAAAATATTGAAACATTTACAGTAATTGCCAAAGCTTTCAACATTGATAGAGATAATATAGCAGATTTATAAATACGAAGACATATAGCAAGCTGCTAAATAATTTCAAATACTTACACAAAATACATTACCAAAACTGCATTTTGCTGGTATTGAGACTGGATCTTGCACTGGAAAAAAAACCACTCTGACTTCAAATACTATTGTAAACAAAGTGAGGAATTACCTATCTTCAAGCAGAAACATCAACCACCACCTACACTCAATCATCATGACAAGATACTTGTCAGATGCAGAAAAAATAAGTATCCCAGCCACTTATACTTTCTGCATACAGGATGCTGCAGGACTTGTGTAAACAAATACTCTGCAGACCCTGCCTGAGACAGAAGGGTTCCTGTCTGATTATGCACAGATACACAACATGAAACTAAAGAAAGGCTGCCTACCCACAGCCACAACCATCAAGAGATGCTGTTGGTTTGTGGACTCACATTGCAGGCATAAACTGCACTTTCATTTGAGATTGAAGAATTTCTTTTCCTTTGAAGCACCCTCCATTGAGCAAGCAGACATGGAACAGGAAGATGTGAAGATTTGTAGCTAAGAAGAGTCAATTAACTTGTGCAACCTAACCACGAACAGCCTTCCTTCCCAATCCTCATTTTAATCTAAAATCACATTATGGGTGAATTGAAGGAATTATTTCTTCCCATCCCAAATTACATGGCAGAAGGCCTGCAAGCCCTTTGTGCCAACTGACACTGAAATTGCTCCATCAAATGCATTTTACATAAATTGTTAAGACCTAAAGTACTGAACATTGTTCATGACAGCATGGACAGAGCTGCAAGAAGCAACACCTTAGAGTAGAGCTACTTGCCCAGTGGTGACAACAAAAATGCTTAAGCTCTCAGAACATAATTCAGTTCAGGAAAATAGGAAATGATAACTGAACCCTGCCAAAGTAACATTAAAAAGTCAGAGCCACTCTAACAGCGTGGCCTTCTTAGCTGAGGCTATGATCAGTTGTTAGATCTATTATGGATCCATTAAAAAAATCTCAAGCATCTGGAAGGCTGTTCTGAAGGCCAACCAGTATCTCAGAAAGAGAAGAAAATTTGGACTGGAAAAACAAATAATTGCTTATCAGAGATCTTAAATTAATATAAAGTAATTCATGGGTCAACAACATAATAACAAGAAAAAAAATCTCCTCAGTTCATGCAGTTATTTAATCCCCCAGTCCTTCAATCTAGAAGTCATAACCTTTGTGGATGCAGCACTTACTGCTACAAAAGGAGCTGCGTCACTACAGAGGGAATCCACAAACTAAATATTTTCTATCTGCTTCCATGTATTCTCACAGCTGCAGCCAGACACTTCTGCTGCAAGCCCAGAATATTCCAACAGTCTCACTAATGGATAGAAAGAGTTGAGCATCAGCTAGTGTGGTACAGCTTAGTTCAAGTAATATAGGAAAGAGCCAAAATGCTCAGATGAAAAGCTTGTGTCCTTCCACATCCAATTTGTGACAAACGCTGGCACCAAGTGATTATGAAGCCACTTGTGTTGAGAAGGGTGACAAGAAAAAAATAAAAGCAGAGTTGAAAAGCTAAGAGATGCCTTGATCAGTTGTTCATGGCATAAAAATCTGAGGGAAGCTGCTGGAACATTCACTCTGCAGGTGCTGGAGATGACATTTCCAGAGCTATGAATGGTGGAGGAGCTGAAATAGTTCCAGCATCAAGAAAGAGCTGATAGGATGCACAACCAGAGGTGACTGAGTCAGCAATAAAGTGTGAATTTAGTTCATCTGGCAAGGCTATGCAGGATTTTTAAAGCAACATTCAACCAAACACTTTAATCCAACAGGAAATGGTGACTTTTCCAGGCAACTGGTTTTACAAAAAAAGAAGGAAAAAAAAAAAAAAGACTGGATTTGTTTCCAGAAAGCATGCTTCAAATCAAACCACTATTAGTGCACAGCTCTTGCAGGCTCAGCCATTTGGTGCTGGTGAGCTAACATGCAGGCAAGTCTGATCTGGAGGTGAGCAGCCAGCTGCAGAACCCAGCCTTGCCTAAACTGGGAGCAAACAAACCCCTGGTGCAAAGGTACCTCCAAATCAGTGCTTGGAGAGCTCATGCTGCTAGAAGCCAGAAGCACCAGCAGGTCAGGGTGTACAAACCACTTCAAGTCTGAGTCCACCTTCCTGTGCCACTCCTCTTTTTCTTTTAAGGTGTTGCTGATGGTTGTCTCCATGTCTTGAGCACACCAGGTGAGCTGTATCTACCTTGCATTTGCCTTGTAAGAAAGGCATCCTTTACCTCCACAGTTTCCACCTGGAGTTCAGAACCACCATTTGCTAGGTCCTATTATGAATTGCATTAACCTCCCATGCCCAAAGAATCCCACTAGAGATAGTAAAGCAGGCTCCTTTTCTCCTTAGTATGTACCCCTTTATATGATTCTAATATTAGTCTAGTTCATAACAGCAGATACTTTAAAACTTCCTCACTCTTTAAGTCTTGCTTTTGTTTCATATTCATTACATTGTCAATTAAATGGAACCAGTTCAAAATCAGCCACTGCGACAACCCCTCAGTGTAAGAGCAAAACTCAAGTCCTAGACTGATGAAAGAAATAAAACCTGAAGGTCTTTACCACCCTAGAAAAACAGGAAAGCAAATGTTTCCTTACAAGCTGCTGCCTAATCATTTTGCTATGGTCCTCATAAACAAGTGATATTTTATACTTTTATGAACTCTTATCCCATTATTCTTTCATGGCAAGCACTCAAAATTAACTGTAGCAAAACAGTCACTCTATTAAAGAACAGAGATTTTTTTTTTCACTTGCAATACATTGTGTTCTATTTCAAGCCCAGTTTTCCATCTATAACTTAGTCCTAGTTGTAGCAGAACAAAATTCCAGCTTTTATGACAGAAGGCTTTTTTTTGATCAATAGAAGTCAGCAGCAAAAGCGTTTGTGGTTTTTCTCTGGAAAGCATTTGTGGCCACAGACTCAAAGAAGGAAGAAAGAGAGGGGGATTAACTCTTCAGTGAAGGTCAAAAACATAATTTAAAAGTGAACCAAGAAGAGCAGCTGTGTCTGTCAGCACAATCAGGATTACCAGCTGGAGAAATTTACCAGCAGTATGAAAACAATGCACACCAGATGTCAAATGTTGCAACTGTGAGTAGAAAAGCAACTCTGGGCATGGCACTGTCATGCTAATACTCATTACCAGACAGATTTCATATTTAGCATTTATTTATTAATTAGACACTACCAAGAAGAAACAATAACATTTTGAGCTTCACAGTGTAAGTCAGAGGCAGGTGTGCACACTGGAAACATTTAACATCCTTTATTCTCAGCTATTCTTTTACTGCAAACACAAGACAACAATTTTAAAGCTAACTAGCAAATATTAGAACATCTGTGGCTGAACAGACTTTAGTTTCACTGAAGTTCAATCTGAGCTTTTAACTTCAGTTGGACATTTTTTTTTTAACTAAATCTGAAATAAATATTAAGAAAGGAAGTAAAACCACACTCTCTTCCATGTATAGCTATCTGGAAAGAAATGTATCTAAATTACTCAAAAGTGAAGCAAATACTTCACTTACACCTCTACCAGCACTTCCTTCACCAGCTGCTTGTTACCTTTCTTGTCTTTCTGGGGCATTCTTGTCTTTTTTTTTTTTTTTCCTGCACATTTTATGCCTTGAAGATGAACTCATCCATTCCAGCTCTTGAAACAAGAGTGTTACACCAATTTTGCTATGTAAAATACCTGCTGTTGATTTTCTTCTTTTGTATATTCTTGTATTACCTTGGTCCCATCCCCCTTTGCATTAATGCCTACAGAAACCATGACTGTCTCTGCCTGCAGCTTCTCCCATGTTCATCCCTGTTTTCCAAACATCTCTCCTAAATGCTTCAGTTGCTACACTACAGTACCCTCCCTTTTTTCCCCTTCTTTGCTCTTTTCCTAAGAATGGATGGCTCATCCACTTGCTTAATCCCTACTCCTTGATGATGATGATGATATGAGAGGATTTTCCAGTTTCCATGGTTAAATTCAATTTTAACGTAATTTTTCTCTCATTAAAAATCAATTACAAGGCCCCAAGAAACTGAAAATATGGATGGTAATACTGGAATTATTTATCACAGAGGCTATTCCAGGAACTTGTTTGAAGTTTGTTTTATATCTTCCTTGATGGTGCAATTGCTTTATCTGAAGGAAGACATGCCCACAGAAAAACATGGTACCAGCATAACTGAATCAAGATGAATAAAGTTATTCAAATACAATTACTGTCAGCAGAGGGAATGGACATGTGCTCATGGCACCTTATCCTGACATGGAACATATGTTAGTAGAGGGCTGTTAACTGCTGTAATTAAAAAAAGAAATTAGAAACGCCTAATCAATGGATACATTTAACTGCTTATGCAACCATTACTTCTTCTATTCTCTTAAAGAAAGAAATTTCTTATATATTTCATTGTCATTAATTCAAATTCTCCTCAGCTTCTGCACTCATTTTACTGTATTAGAGCCTATTCATCATGGTTTACCTTAGCTTTGCCATCCTGTGCAGACATGTATCCAACACACATGCTCTCTGTTGTATGGCTCCACAGAAATTCCACTATAAAGAAAAATGCAAGAAGTTACAAAAAGGCCTTGGTTTAAATTACAAGATATAATTTAACATGACTGATGTCTTGAGGAACAAATATAGCAAGGATAAAAAACAGAGAACAAAAACTACTTACCAGAGCAATTAAATCTCAAAAGAAACAGCTATCAAACAAACAAAGATTTTCCTGAGTATTCACAGCCACACTCTGCAGTACTACTACCCAGAATGAGAATGTTACCTCGATGATACAGAGCTGAGAAGATGAGAAATACATCAACTCCAACTGCAGTTAAAAACTGGACCAGCTTCTAAAGCAGTGCCATGTTCAGTAAAAGCTGACAGAACTTGAATTTGCCTGCCTTGAACCCAGACAAAAGCACCCTGCAACAGCATAAAGCCAGATGGCCTGCTAGCAACAGGTAAAGGGCAATTTGTGGAGTAGCTGCCCAAGCAGGATACAGTCAAACATGCAGAAATAGTCAAGTCTGCAATATGGGAATTGAAGTTATAGAGCAGGCAGGAAAGACATCTGGTAAAAGCAAAATTATCCTGCAGAAAAAGGTGGAGAGGTGTCTGATGGAATCAGGGTAATATGCACAATAAGAAAAAGATTCCTGGCAAAATTAGAGGAAGTCCTGGATTCAAAAGTATGCTGAATTACAACAGCAGATGCAAATCCCCCCTTTCTTTGTCGAGAGTGTAAGGAGCAGCAAAGGTAAGAGAAGAAAGAAAGATGAAGAAGAAATCAAAGCACCCTCAGGTCTGATTAGCTGGACTTCCAGCACCAGGTACACAACATCAGGTCTCTGGTCCTGCACTCACAGCTAATTTAGGATATCAGTGTTAAAGAACAATTGTCATGCTTGCAGTGATAATGATTAAGAAAACTAATCACTTCTCACATGTATTGTTAATGCCTGTTAATCCAGTAAGGTGCTGTCCTGGAGCCTGAAAGTGTGCTGATTTATCAATTGTTTAACAGTCTGTTCCAGTAATCTTTAATTGCCTGATACATATGCAGGAATCTTTATGTACACAAACATACTCCTACTCAGCTGCAACACAAAATTCAGACAAAGAGCACATTATTCATATGTTCAGCTCTCTGCAAGTGGAGCTCTATAAATTGCCACGCTGTTTTCTTCCTGCTCTCTGTCATGGTCATTTTTCTTTGTGTTCATAAAGTTCATAACTTGGAAGGGGGGAAAGAAAAAAAATAGCTGATCAGAATTCAAGGCATTTCACAGAATTCTGTAAAAGGTTTTTAAACAATGCACTGAAGCACAGATTCTTCCTCTGGATTACAGTAGGTGTCTTACATTAATTACACAAGATGCCATGGACAGACATTTCCACGTATTTCTTTTGAGAGTGACTTTCACACACTGCAAAAAAACCATCACTAGATGGGTTTAAAACTCTTACTCATTCCTATCCTCACGTTCCTTTACCGTGGCTGATGAAGGTCACACACAGCCTGCTGAGCACAGGTATCCTTTGAACCACTTCTCCTTGCATAGCAATTAAACCAGAGGAGGAGATCAAAGGTTTGATGATCTCAGCAAGACTTGAAGATTCTGACACACATGCAGATATCATCATAAAAGAAAAATGAACTTCATGGAGGTGTGTGCTCTGCTCCCCTGTAACAGATTGGTGACTGATACCACCAAAGGAGAACCAAAAGCTTTCAGAGAATGAAAACTGAAACACATCCAGCACCATCAAGGTGTGTTCCACAGGGCCAACCTCTCCCTGGCACCCAAAAGCCTCCACTGTCAGTGAAAGCATTTTTTAAAAGGATAAATTTAATCCCATCTTTCAATTTTGAGAAGTTGGGAAACAGTTCAGGTCAAATACCCTCAAAATATTATACCTTTGCCTTTGATAACTACCAAAGGTAGCCTGTACTAGCACAAACCTTGGTTATTGTTAGCCATTACAAGTAGTGAACTAGAATGAAAATTGTAAATTACATGTGAAACGTCTTCAGATAAGTATATTTTCAACCATTTAACAAGTCACTTCCTTGCCATTTGTTTCAATATTAAAAAGAAATAAAGATGATCCCAGAACATGAGTTTCTTATTCTATACACTAAGTTTTTCAGTATCAACTAACTTATTTTCAGTCCAAACAACACAAATACTGCACATATTTTATCTCAATATGTTTTATATATATGCTTTTATATCTATGTTTTATCTCTGATAATACATATGTTATGTATTCTCTCTGCATTCATTATAAGGCAGAATATTTCCAGGGTACAGAAGAAGTACTGTGTTACAGTTAATCTCAGTGTTATTTCAGTGGAAAGAAAAAAAAAATCAATGGGCAAATAATCTTCACTTATGATGTACGATATATGGGGACTTTATAAATTAATTTTTGAGAAAAAAGTCAAATCTTCATTAATAGAATATGTTCTCTTACATGAATGACAAATATTAAATGAATAGAAAGTTTCTCTCACTTGCAAATCTCATGAATTGAAGGTTAAGTTGATCTTGTTTGTTATTAATCAGACTTGTATTTTCATTTTTTTAAGGACAGAATTTACGTTGCAGGATGCTGTTGCTCTAGATAATGTCACAATTGGGTAAACAATAATAAAGCAGAGTATTATACAAAGGAAAAACACTTTAATTCTGGTAACATAACCCCAATCCATATTAGACAGGTCAATGTGACCCAATAAATAAGCACATAGCTCTACATGTGAGCAGCACCACAGGAAAGGAGATGGCACAAGAGTCATCCTGAAGACCTTCATGTGTCCCCAGTCCCAAATTCCTTCCCTTAAAGAGGCTTTACTGTCTCAGGGTTGTATTCTGTTCTGCTCAGAGTGTACAGCCTTCAGTTCCCATCTGTTTCTCCCACAGAAACCATGTGACAGTTTTCCATAATACACTTTTCTGCCATAAAGCAGGAAGACAGAGATGGTGTTTCCAGGACAGAAACAGGGGTGAAGGGATGCAAAAGCCCTTTTGGAACCAACCAGCTACTGGTAGAGGCAAAGTCCAGGTGATTTCTGTATGAGCAGCAGAAACTCATGTTTGGTGTAAATGCAAACAGTAACTGTGGCTTGTCTAAATCAATTTTCCTGGCCACTTTCAAGAATAAACAACCATAAGCAACTTTCCTTACAAATTTTAAGTGTATCCTCCAAATTCACACATTTTCTTCTGCAAAAAGGAGGAATAAAGAACTTTTTAGAAAGCATTTTTCACAAACAAGCTACTGAGAAGCAGTAAACAGCTACATGCATTACCCCCAGCTCTAAATGCAATTTTTCCTATTAGGAACATATCCTGCCTTGCCACAAGCAACTATTATATTTATGCCATAGATTTAGAAAGATCCCACACAACCCTCTGAATGACAATTGTGCTTAGAAATAATGAGTCAGAAAGAATGCTCTTTTCTGGAGTTCTAATAATATTGGCCTTGTTTTTCCTTATTTCACTTCCTAGATTTTTATTATTCCAATGTCAACTCCTTTTTGTTTTCTCTATGGTTTTTGAACATGCACAGATTTTATTTCACCTTTCACTTCGAGTTAGCACCCAGCTGAATTAAAAATGAGGAAGAATTCCTTACCTAGTAAAGTTGGCTTTTCCTGTGAGGATTCAGGCTCTGCTGAACACCTGCAGGAGCGGAGAACTATCACACCTCCAAGAACACCATCTTCATTGGCTAGAAAAGGTGAACCTGGGCAAAATTATTGGGAAGAATTACTTGAACTAGGAATAGTTTCTTAGGCATTTTTCTTTAAATTTGATTTTCTGCCTTTCCCCTTTAATCTCATCACTAAGGGTTGAAAGGACTGACAGATCAAACAGTGCTTCTACAAAAGCACCAGTTCTCTTTTTCCTAGTGTTTCAAAAGAATAATTTCCTAGAACATTAATCTACTAATTCACCAGTAATAAAAAAAAAAAATAAAGAGCTACATGGAATAAAACAAAAATATTAAAAATTACATTTGTGAGTGCAAACCAATTTGTTCATGGATGAAGGAAAACGTAATAATGAAAAATGGAGTGTCAAGTTGAAAAAAATCGTGACTCACTATTTAGCTCTTTCTGTTCTACAATGAATATAAAGACATATTTAAAAATCAAGCAAATTTAGGCAATTTTTACAGTTTATTCATTTTTTCCAATTTAAAGCCCTTTGTACAGAGACATCATCAAACTGCTATACTGTCTGCCCTGCTGTTTGGTGAATACTATGAGAAAAGCCTAAGCACATCCTTGTTACAGTGGCTCCTCTGTTGTTCATTTAAGACATAGGATATAAAAGTCTTCTATCAGAAGCTGGAAAAGCTTTAAAGTTAGCAGAACTAAGCCTAAGTATTCTTTCTCTGGTTTGCAATTTGAAATAAGATTCCTATAGCTTTAAATGTGGAAACAATGGTATAATTTACAAACAATTTAAAGTGTTGTGAGCCACAAAATAAATCAAGTTCTTGCACTAGGCCCATAGACATCCTAGTTACACATTTCCATTACACTGTCATTTAAAATTGAACATACAATTGCAACAGCCATTTAATGTAATTCTTCTCAATTCTTGCTTTTAAATAAATTAGTGTACAGACACTGTAATTTGCCAGCCACAAGAACTTGAGAGCAGATCTATTCAGACTCCTTTAACTTGCCCATTTGTATGATTAAAATTACTCCTTTAATGCAAATAACAACAAAACAGCCCAATAAAATCCAACTTCAAGCTTTACCATAAGGAAAACTAAAAGCTTTATCATGTTTTCTCCAAACATTAGAGCAGCTGCCTTCAAAAGTGATACAAGGTTGTCACTGCAACAGAAGCCCACGTTGCAGGAAAATAATAAATTCAGTATGCTTAATAAACAGTAATATCTTATTTCATCTAATGCAAACAGATATTATCTTTAAAGTGCCACTTGCTTTGTAATAGAACTATTACTAGTTACAGTTACACCTCCTGTATTACTCACTGCCACCAAATCCCTGTGAAACAAGAATCCAGCCCATGATAAGGTAATAGATAACAAAACAGGAAAAATATGTTTGGTTAAAATAGAAACACAGGGCTTGGAAATTTGTGAAGAGTTTTACCACCCAAGTCAAAATTAGGCACTTCAAAGACAATGCCTTCTACCTGAACTTGGTCTGCAGACCTAATCTGACACTAAAGTGCACAAACAGTTTAGGCTCTAGGCCATGCTGTGGTGAAAAGTCATTGCAGAGAGACAGAAAAATTCTGCTTTGTTTTTTAATAAGCAGCTTCTCCTTCCCTTTCAAGGGCTGTGAAAGATTTTTCCAAGGTCCTAGTGAAAAATATTAATTATCTCTTGCATTAGAATGGTTAAAAATGTTCCACTTCATCAGAATACAGCCAGCAAACACTATTCACAGCAGATCATATATTTGAGGCTCCAGTAAAAGACTGGGACTGTATGAATGCACATAATACCAGACAGCAACTACTGATTATAGTTTATAGAGTTGGTGCCACTGAAGTCTTTTTCTAGAAATGCTTCCATTAGCTTAATCACTTTTTTTTAGGGATTTTGTTTCTTCCCCACTCTGAAAAAAATAGATGAAAGGGAAGTCTGTAAATAAGCTAATTCTTCTAAGCTGCTATTCTTAAGCTATTTCTTCATCTTTCCAGTGTTTTTGTCAACTATGCCATCATGACTGATCAAATTTTCAGTAATCTGAGTAACTTGTAGATGGTCTTTTGAAATCTTACAAGGCTTAGCAGTATAGTTCTTCCCGTGTAGAGACTCTGCAGCAAAACACGTGACACTGCATTTTCATCAAAATTCTTCCATTTTTACAGGGATTTATTTGTAAGAACGAAATAGAAATCTTTGGCAAAACAAGGAATAAAAAAAAAAATCACTCAAAGCAAGTGTTTTGTTTCAAAGCTTATTTTGAAAGGTTTAAATAATTAATTTAAAACTTGAGCTTCAAGCTTCAGCTTACAACTTCAGCCAAAAGATGCTCAACCTCTACATGAACAACTGAGAGCCCCAGTTCTGTCAGTATAAATAGCATTTATTTACTGACATTCAGCATGGTGTCCATTCTATTGCCCTAAATGTACACAATTGTTTTCTGAAGGAATTACCTCCTTCAACGATTATACACCATGGAAGCTTGATTACAGTCCACAAAACTCAAAGGCTTTGACGACCACTCAGAAGTTGGAAAACTGACTCTATTAATTCAGCCTTTGCTGAAGTACACTGCCACCCTACTGCAACTGGAAAACTCCAGGAGAGGATTAACTTAATAGCACTGCACCTGATAAAAGTGTGAAAAAAGCCTTAACTTCAACACCCATAAAGCACAATAGATGGGCAAGACACTGACTTCTTTAAGAATGACACAGGATGGGCCCTTGGACTAAGAAGAAATGTTGGTGACATCACATGAAACCAAGTCACACTGCATTAACTTTGTAACAGTACTACTGGTGTGAGACAGAGATGAATAAAATGACTTAAAGTGACTTGCAGCAGGTCATTTGAATGGAGTATAGAAACAAATGTTTTAAAAGATTGTGTTATGCAAACAAAGCAGGGCTGATGGGAGACATTATCTCTCCTACAGACAGACATAGCCTTGCTTGCCCCTTTTGATCTTCTACACCTGCAGAACGAGCAATATTCTGGAATGGTGGGAGAAGTGAGAAAAAAGAACATACCCCTTGTTCTCATCTCCAAACACAAGCAGCAAATGAAGACACAAAGATTCAGGACCTTTCCAGGGCCACCCTGCTTCCTCCTGTTGAAGGCTGCCATTCCCAGAGACATCAGAAGCAAATCACACCCTCACCCATCCCAAATACCCTCAGCAGCAAGTTCAGCTAAATCACCTCAGGGCAAAATCAGCAATAATACCGTGTATGTCTGCAATTCACTGCCTAACTTGTGGGCAATCAACCTCTAAGAAGTGTCAGTAAAAACCAGTTGCCTACAATAATAATATTACAGTGTTCTATGTTACAGTAAATTCAGGCTGTTTCTCTGCTCTTAAAAATCAGACCCTAAGCCAAATTAAATACATGCTGAACAACATATTGTTTAAATGTTATTATTTTCCAATTAAAGCAATTTTTCAAAAATGTTAAGAGAGATTCAAATATAATACCTTTTCTAAAAAAGGATCTTTCTAGATATGCAGACCTACTGACAATGATGACAACTATGCTTAAGAGTGTATTTTAACAAACCAGACAGTGCAAATGAGTAGGTCTATGGTAAGCAAAATTCCAGACAGCTGAATGCTATGCATCCATCACTAAATCTGTAAAAACAATGGTACAAAAGCAGTATTATACTTTATTTCTAAAGAGAAAACATGTACCCTACTCAGGAATTAATTTGAGTGTTCTCAAAACACTGTGAATTCAAAGGTTAGGAACATACTTCATTAATTTAGTTCTAAAACTCATTTTGTTACAGCCAACCCATTGAGAAAAAGAAATAACAGAGCAGACTTTTGTAAAAAGTCACAATATAGGTAATGACTTTTTTATATATACATTTAATTAGTATTTCAAGAGGAGGAGAAATAGTAGAGCTGAAATACTGCCACGTATATTAAAGGCAGAATGGTTTCTCATTAGAAGGAAAAAGTGATCTGGCTTCCACCTCCTACACCAGCTTTGCTCTCTCTGTACTCTTCAGAAAGATAGATTTTCCTGTATAAATTCAAAATTTAGTTAAAATAAAACCAAAATATGCCTACTAGCCAAAAATATTGTTTTCCACTGCAATAAAATAGAATTGCTGGATAAATCTTTGATCTAATAGTTTGCTAATGACAAAATCACAAAAACCTGGGGCTTTAAATATCATTTTAAGTCTCATGAAGCTCAGTGTTCCTTTCCCAGTTACACTAGCATACCACTGAGCAACGTGGCATGAAAAATCCAAAGCAGAACCCCAACTGCAGTATTAACTAATAATGTTAGCAATAAATGGCCACACCAGAGAGAAAGGGTAGGACAAAACCAAACAAATCCCACATTTCATTAGTTTTGGTCAAATCCTCACCTTGCCCAGTCACAAAACTATGTTTTACAAAACACATTTCTCTCCTTCAAAGCTCAACTACTCTGTTATTGCTATGTGACATAAAGAAAACATGATGACATTTTTTTTGATGTAATTTGCATGTTATTAATCTGCAGTAATGGTCTCCCAAAAACAAGCAAGCAGATCTTCACAGCAACTCCACATTCACTGATCCCATGAAGTTCTGCCAGAGCTGAACACCATGACCCAGGTTCAGCCCTTGATTAGAGACAGAACTGAGAGATTTCACAAGTTTAAAAGCAAATAATGGCCTCAACATTCAGCCTTGCTCTGCAGGAGCTACAGTTACAGAAAAAGTGAAGAACACTTGTTCTTCACTGTCTCTTGTGAATTAAAGCTCTCATGGGATGAAGACTGTTCCTCCAGATCATGGGATTGATATGAGTTGTTCTCTTCTGATCCCTGCCTTTTTTCCCTTTGTAGTTATTGCACAGAGCCATTCTAGCACAGATTCAACACTGAGCTGTAAATGAAGTGTTGTATTTACACTTAGCCAGCTGAAGGATGAACCAGCTGCTCATCAGATGTTTTACACTGATACTCTTCCATAGCAGAGAAACCATTACCAGCTTCATTGTTTACATCAGCTTTCAAAGACTTAAAACTTGGGTCTAAACACTGACTGTGGTGTGGTGTAATCAATTAAGTGCTTCAGCATCCCCCAGTTTTAACAGAGGGCAGTTAAACAATTCTAAACCTTGTGCACTGAGGGAAATTCTGACTATTTCAGGTCAACAGTCTATAGATCACCTCGACCTCTGGACTGTCAGCCTGTGTACAGAATGTGGTGGAAGTGAAACTGCCACTCTGCTTCTGCTATGTATCCCACTAAACTCCAAGGTAAAAATGGAAATAAACATGAGAGGAAGATAATAAGCACTAAACGAAGCCTGCTTTTAATTTCATGCACCATTACTTGGTGAATGTTTAAGCACAAACTGTCTCAAGTCAGAGGTCTTTATATTTCATGATACATTAACTTACAACATCTATATTGATTTTTTTAAAGAAGCTTCAAGGGAAAACACCTGCACTTTAAAACTTAACAGGGAAGATTTTAAGAAATTAAATAACTGAGGATAGTACAGACCAATAAAATCCCAATGCTTTTGACATGGAAAAGCATAGGGAGGACTTATAAAAGTCCTTGTGGAATATCACCACTTTGTGTTTATGAAACTTCAGGATCACTTGATTCTCTTCTGAAATCTTTTCCTCTATTGTCACAGAGAAATATAATAATGCTTCCATAGTTTGTTTCCTCTGCTAGAAAACCACAAAGTATACAAAGCATGGAGTGATGCAGCACCAAAGGAAACTGTAATGTACTATAAAGTAACTACAACACTGTGCAATGCCAGTCCCGGTCTTGCTCCTGTTAAAGTACCTTTAACCAGGCACTTTAAGTAAAGACTTTTTTCTCCCCAGCAAGCATAATTAATAATCAGGAAATTCATAATCTATGACTCCTAGCTGTCTGAAGTCCTGCTCAGAAGAGAGGATTTTGAAACTAAATTTCTAGAAGAGAAACTGTCAGCGTTATCCTTCTGCTATTATCTTTCTGCAGATTCCACTCAACTGAAGCACAGTTTAAAAATACAAGAATAGAGAAACGCATTTCCACTAAGGAAAGAACAAATATCAGATTCCAACTATGTCTTTCAGCTCATTATTCTCTAATACTTCATAAGTTTTAAAGTACCATTGGTAATGCTGCCATTGTTAAAAGCCCAGATTTCCCGCCAATGAGATGACACAAATATTTACTCTAAGTCTACATTCCACAAACTTCGCTGCATTTGAAAGGAATGATGAGTAACAAAATCCTCTGTTCTTCTGTTTGGAAGGTATTTGTGTTTACAGAACACCATTCTTTAACTGTGAACCAAGCCTTTCGTGCTCTTTGACTAAAGATATGGAGCCCGTTCCATTTACAAAAGTCTAAATTTAATTTCTCTCACCTGTGATTCAACCATCAGTTGTGCATTCTCCACAGTAAGCTGGTTCTGAGAAAGGATGAGAGAAGCACATCTGACATGAGTTTGCTCATCACCTGCTGTTTAAACAGCACTCACTGTCTAAGCCAGGCATTCCCTAGCTGGAATGATTCCCAGGGCTCTGCAGAAATTTGTAAACAGGAAGCACCAATCTGATGGCAACTGCCAAAATCAGCTGTTCATTCCTCTGATACAAGTAACAAGCATTTTGACTTCTGATAAAACATTCTAGCTCAGCTTTGTTAAAGCCTGGGGTTTTTTCCCAATGCCTTGGTCTATTATAATTCTGGTGACAGTTTGACAAGAGAACAAAGCACGTCTCTAAGGAAGGCAAGGGAAGCATCCATGCCATCAGCAAGGAGTCTATTGGCCCATTTTATCCTGTTGTGCCCCAGTAAGAAACCCTGCACCATACCACACATCCTGTGCTATCAACTAGCACATCATCTATGAAAAGTCACAGCCAAAAAAACCCTATTTAAAAAAACCTACTGTTTTAAGTGCAATGCCTGTTTTTAACTGTCTCACTGTATTTGCCACAAGTAACTTTGTGTTCCATCTGCAGAATTACCAAGATCTCCAGAATTTCTTTGCCAGCTACAAACTCAATACTATGTCACATGGAACCAGCAAAATGTATCTGGATTTTCATGTTTTCCTCCATCGCTCTTCATTCAAAGGACAGCTGAGCCCAAATTAAATTTTATGTTTTCTAAACCAAGCACTTCACCTACACAAAAAAAAAGGTGCTGTTGTCTTTTTTCCCCACATCACCACTGCCCAGAGTATAAATGAGCAGATATTACACATCTCTCCTGTCAGGCAGCAGAAGCTTGCAGTAGTAAGTTTCTGAAAATACAAGCCAGACGTGTCCTGAATTAAAACTTTAAAAAGGAATTACAAAGCATTTATATAAATGTTATATAAACGCTTTTTCAAATTTTCTTTTCACAAAGAGCATTCATTTCATCCTGTCTCTCACTCTTCTCACTTTCTGCTGTTTATCTGAGTTTGGTGTTTTACCAAGGCAGTAACACATCACACTGATATCCTGGTAAATCTGTCTGTGCAGCTCCTCTTTGTCTGCAATTGATAGTTCAGCAACATTTAATAGGCTCTTACCTCCAATAGAAACATTTTCACATTTCCACTAAAGAACACAAGATATATATCACATAGGAGCCAGTTAACATTTAAATGAAAACATTCGTTATGCAAAGTGGTGGCAAAATATGTTTGCATTAAACAGCAAAACGAGAATTGCATTTTTTGTTAACCATTACCAAACAGAACAAAAACCCAGAAAACTGAAAGCAACTTAAAGAAGGCACGTTTAGCCAAAAATGTTATATTTTGGGCTTTTATCAGCCAGTCTCTATGAATTAATACATCAGTATCTTTCCATCTTGTGTGTGTACATGCATTAATATGAAATTGCAGAAGGTTACATACAATTTGGGCTTGCTTTTATACTCTCACCACAAACAGCACAATAAATTTTAAGAGCATGGACTAAAGATCTGACTTTGCTAAAGTTAGGTCACTTCCATACAACGTCTGCAAAGCAGGTTACAAATCAGCAAAGCTATCACAAGCATCCTTCCTAAACACTTTTTTTGGGTACACAAATTCCTAATGTTGTGCCACTATGCACTAGAATGTGTGATTAAATAGAAGAAAGCTACATTTTTGCTGCTTGGATTAGAATATTTTTGGGGAACACAAGCCAAGCCAAGGGCATCAGCCCCTGGGACCCCAAAAGGTGTGCATATGTCTCTCTTTCAGTTCTAATCAAAGTACCACAAAAAGAACTTTAGCAACACAGTGTACAAGTATTATGCTGTCCATAAGAAATTCTGAAGATGAAAATTGTCTGTGGATTCTAAAGCTTGAAAAATTTTAAGGGTATGAAAACACTGCAAGTGAACATATAAACCACAAGCTTCACTGGAATTTTCAAAAGGGCAAGACTGCATGGTTAGTTTAAAAATTCACATTCATATTTTGCTTACGACTTGAGGAAAGAAAACAAGATCTATACTTACAAAAAACTGAAGACACATTGCACAGTTCTCTTAAATCAAAGAAAAAAAAATGTGGTTTTTTAGCAAAGTCTATTTCACTTTTTCAAGAAATTAATTTTATGGTGCAAATAGCAAACCAGAATCTGTCTGTCCAAAGCATTTAATTAGAACATGAAATAGTTTTGAGGTCTATTTTTAAAAGGGTTAACATGATGAATAATTTTTACTAATGCTCCTAACCCATCAATTCTAAAATATGCAATTGTACACCACAGCCCATGATTCAGACAGGAAATTCTTTCTTCAAACCTCTCTGGGTATTCTATGACTCACATAACAATTGAGGTATTTCCAAGGGTTTTCCTTTATATTTCCTAATATATTCTTCTGTAGTTTAACATTTTTCAGATGTAACACAACACTAAATCTGAAGCCAACCGCAACACAAGGCTTGAACAGAAATCACAAGAATTAAGTATTTTTCTTTAATAGAGTTACTTGCATTTTCAACAATGTTGGGTGACATTTAGGCACTCAGGGCCATATACTCACCAATAAACTTGTTTTGCATAGTCTCTAGGAGAGCTTGGTGGGCATCCTCTGTTTGCAAAGCACATGAACATTCTCTGGCCAGTATGGTCCGGACAAGGTGCTCTCCACAACCTAAAGAAATATTAAGATTGGGAATAGTCAAAATACAGATATCACTATGAAATAACCATGTCATTAATTTACATCATCACATTAATTTGGTTGTGATTATGCAAAATAATGAGGTTTTTTAGTGATGCTTAAGAGAAGTTTCCACCACCTATTTTTATTTTTTAAAAGGGTTGACATGGAGTCACTCAAAAATTCAACTAAGTCAGTGGTTTTCTCACAACTTGCCTGAAATTTCGACTGCACAAAATCATAAAGCAAACACAAGTTAAGTGCAGAAAGAGGAAACAGCGACACTCTGACTTGGCATCTCTATCCTGACAGAATCCTCTTACTAATCCTTCTCCTGGGAATGATCCTTGCATGCAGCTCTTCAAACCCAGAACCACTTCAGTGACACAGTAACTCCTTTTGCATGACAGAACCTTGTACTTGGTCCATCTGATTCAGCCTTTTTGCAACAATGGAATACATGAATTCACCCATGTTTTGCCAAAGTCGCTGGTCATTGGACTCCTAACACAAATTCCTGTAATTTTTAAAGGTTTGTCCTTAAGAAACTAAAAAGCTTCTGCAAACAACCACTTATTGCCTCAGTGCTTTCTGCACCTATCCCCTGAAAGCTATTTTTGGTGAAGACAAGCAGGTCATTACTGCTACTCTCGTTCTGTAGGAACACTTTCACACCTGCTATTTTTCCTCCTACACCCTTCTCCCTTCCTGTACTATGCTTTGGGACACAGAGCTGCAGCCAAATGGCACCATGCATGTTTACTGGACCAACTGGGATTTGTGGGGCAGGAAAACTCACTGCTGATACCTCCTCCATATAGATCAAGGTCATTACACTACTTAGGCCTCTTGTTTGTTGAATTTTTTCTCAATGGCACGGAAGCAGACAAAGCAGCTAGAAGAGGTTTAAGCAAGAGCCAGGTGACCTGTGTTATCCATTTAGGAAAGAAAGAACCATAACTAATGTAGAGTTGTAATGTAATAATGATCTCAAATTATCTCAATCTAAGTGACTACATTTTGATCTGATTTGTACCTTATCAGGGTCTAAAACCACATTAGACACCAGAATATACAGAGAGAAGTCCGATACACTCCCTTTACAATTATATACAAATATTTCTAGCATATTGCTCATCAAATATAACAAGATGATGCAAGCACTGGAACCATTTAAAAAAACCCAAAAAACCAAACTGCTATAATCCAGTTGGACTTATTAACTCAGGTACAGAATTACATAAATACACCTCCACAGCCTCCAGAAACAAATTTATGGCTGGAAACAATCTAGTAGCTTCCAAGTGGCAGGGAGCTGGAGCTGGTAAGAGATGAGACCTAGGCTGGCTTCAGACAAAGGCAGCTCAGTCTCCACAGGTAACTCACACTTGACTGGAAGCACTAACAAACCCAGAACAGAGACACTGGCTGAAGCCAGCCTAGATGTGGCATAAAGAGAAACTCAATAATTAAACCCAAGGCAGAGTGGCTCCTGGGCTGAGTCTCTCACTGCTGTGCATATGCTGAGTTTACAGCACTGACTGGTTTGGGTACAACATCACACAAACACGTTGGCAGGTCTGGCACTGTGTATTGCAGCTGCTCACAGACTGGTTTCTAATTCTTCTCACCATTTTAAACCCTAATTAACACGGCAATCTACTAGAAAAATTTCCTTCTCTGGCTACTTGTCACACAATTATACCCTCCCATTAAAAGTACAGTGAATTTCCACTGTTCTTCAAAGATTGCCAATGCAGAAGGAAAAAAAAAATTACCCCTCTCATTTTCAAGATTTAACCCCCAACAAACAAACAAACAAAACACCCTCTTCTGGAGCACTATGGATGCATCAGACGTCAGAGAATCAGCCCAGAGACCAGAGGGCTGAAAAAATGTGTACACGTGTCCCAAAATCCTGATATGTTCAATCATCAAAAAAATACCTTGGTCTTCAATTATGTCCCCCTGCTAATGGGCAGTGTCTCCTGATTAATACAATTCAGCTAAACCAAGTTGTTTGAAGTGGGACACTTTGGCACTGATTCTACATAGAATTGGCACAAGAGAAAGACAAAAAAAATTATTTGTATAGCAAACAGATTGAGTAAAAACCAGTTACAAATTTAGAGGAAAACCAAAGAGTCAAAGTACTACAACAATTATACAGACAAGGGAAGCTGTTCTGGAGAGCACAAGGGACAAAGTCTTGTCATTTGGACTGTCAAGCTCTCAAGTTAATGAGAGAAATGTCCTGGTTAGGAGATAATCTTCAAGAGGCTCGTGCAATAGAGCAACCTCAGCAGCTGCTCACAGGAGGGTCTGTCCATTTGTTTGCCTCACTACATCCACACTCAGAAGCTTCTGCCCACAGCAGAACTGTGAATTATCTCCTGTTTATTCCAAAGTGATGGATGAAGAACGTGAAAAAACCCCACAAGATGCATTTTACCCATAGATCACAATATGGACGTCGATTTTTTTAAACCAAGAAGCTTTAATCACAGTGAAGTTTTGTTGTAAAGAACAAAAGCAAACAGGCATATGGCTCCAGCAAAAACTGGGAAAGCTGTTTTTTTTTTTTTAAAAAAAACTGTTACTACTTTTAAAATAGAACGTGTAATACCTTTAAATATAACTATATTAATAAAAAGCAGGGGACTTAGAATAGGAATGAAATAAATGAGACACAGAAACCAGAGTGAGCCTATGCATCTCCAGTGCATCAAGTAATAAAACCAGATGTTACTACTTCACAATTTTCAAGTATTTCCCAAAGTGTCATCAAAAAAACAATGGCCATTTTTTAGCATGACATAAAATGTTATTCCCCCCCCCAAGAGAATGACTTTATTGAAGAGTTCCCATAACATCAAGTCTGCTCCAAAAAAAATTCAGAGAGAGAAAACTTAATATGGGTTAAGAACAGCTGCAGCCCACGGATGTGATCCAGGATCAACCACAAGAAAAGCAGCTTTGCAATTCTACTAACACATCACACATCTCTACATCCCCACAGACAAAGTCATTTCTTTTTGTCATATTTATGTCAACCTATAAGACAGCAAACTTACAGACTGCTGCTGGCAGTGTATGTAAAAATCTTTCAACACATCACTTGCTGGCAGTCTGCAGGGACAGATAACTAAGGAAAACAATTCCCCCATTTGGAAAAGAAAAATTTGTTACTGTAGTTTTTGATGTAGGAACATCTATTTTTTGAAGAAGAAAAAAAAAAAAAAACTAAGCAGTGTTTCACATACTTTGACCAGATATAGGCTGAGGAAAAGAATTACACTTTCTATTATCTCAAGTCAGAACCAAACTTCTTGCAGGTTTAGCAGATCTATACATCTGTATAGACTCTACTGGGGACACACTGTAGATAATACTAGGACGAGGCACAAAATAAATGTACACATTACTACAGCAATCAAAACTGATTTATAACTTACAATATAAAGTTGTGGATTCAAATTTATAGTTCCAGACACTTTAGTCTAACTGCCAGCATTAGCCAACTTCCAAAAAAGTTGTGTTAACATGACTCAAGACAGCAATTCCAGTGAAAGCTACTTAAACACATTTCCAAATCATGCACACAAGTTGATGAAAATGTAAATCTGGTTCATTTGCTTAACTATCTCATATTATACTCATATTCTACTACATTTAACTGCAAGTGTTAATACATCTGGCATTTCTTTCACTGAATAGTACTACTAGGGACTCCTACTAAGAATTTTTCAATACTACATTGAAGTCTCAAATACACTAATTTTACTAACTTTCCTGTAAACAGAGTTTAAATCATTTTATTATCCTTTCCCTGTTATGATGATGACTTCTTCAGTAACCTGAAGCTCATTATATTTCAGAAATGAATATTTTGCAATAACAAGACAAATGCTTCCCTAAGACTTCACACATGAGTGACTCAAATGGAGATGACTAGCTGGAAAAATTTACTGGGTTAATTTAGTGCTTCACACTGAAATAACTGTTCCATATAGTAAACAAATTATTTTCCTAACACAGTAATATTTTGCAAACTACTTGTAACTCTTCTGCTGGCAGAAACACTACTGCTGGAGCTGCTGTTGTCCATGTTTGCAGGGCTAAGTACAATTAACTGCTTTCTTCTAGGATTGCTACTGGCAAAGGGAAAAAATGCTTCTACAGAAAACAAATAGTTTATAGAGACTCTTTTGATAAATCATGCCTGACAAATTTGGCAACCTTCTACAATGAGGCTACAGCACTGGAGGGTAAGGGAAGGGCAACTAGTAATAGGGGGGAATGCCTTTATAATGAGGGAGGGCACATTTAAATTAGATATTAGGAAGAAATTCTTTACTATAAGGGTGGTGAGACACTGGAACTGGTTGCCCAGGGAAGTTCTGAATGTGCCATCCCTGAAGTGTTCACAGCCAAGCTGGATGGGGCTTTAAGCAACCTGTTCTAGTGGAAGATGCTCCTGCTCATGGCAGGGTGTTGGAACAGGATGATCTTTAAAGTTCCTCCCAACCCAAACCACTCTAAGATCCTATCAAAAATACACAGAAACATACAGACAGGTATTTTGATGCAAGTTTCCAGCCTCCTAGATTAAGGGAAAGAATATACAGATTCCTAAAGGCTTCAGGGATATACAGCAACAGATTCCTATGACAAGGGAGGGAAAGAAGAATGAGGTTTAATAGCCACACCACCTTTATTTTGTCAACAAACTACAAACCCAAACAAAACTCCCAAAGATCCCAGAAAACCTGTCTTCAACCAGAAGCTTCTATTCCTGCCTGAAAATTGCTTGAAGATCATCTACAAAATCACTTGAAGATCATACAGAAACACCAACACTGATTTTCAGTGACATACCTTGGATCATGCCACAATACACAGTTTTTAATGCAGTGTTTTTTTCAAAGTGCCAGGCAGACCAAAAGTGAAACAGAACTTCCCTTTTTTGTGGGTATTGAAATGTGTAACTT